GACGAATGCAAAAGATCTGATCAATCGTTGATCTGTTTCGTCTGAACCCACACTGATGATCCCCAATAATTTCATTCAAATATGGAGTTAATCTTGCCAGAAGAATGTCTGACAGAATCTTGTACGAGGTTGATAGAAGAGAAATTCCTCGGTAATTACCACACTCAGTCTCATCCCCCTTCTTATTAATAGGAATAATTACAGAGTCCTTCCATTGTCGTGGAATCTCTTCCTTATCACAAATTAACTGTATAAGCTTATGGGTCTTCATATGCAAACAGTAATTCCAGGTGGCACTTAGGTAGTTCAGGTATTTAAATATTCCGTTCTTGTACAATAAAGGTTAAATGGAGGACATCAAGATGGCTGTTTAAAGGACACCACAATGTCTTAACATTATTCTACCTTGAGTAGGCCCTTCTTCGTGGCCACCTCCTTCGCACTCTTGGTGAAGTCCCCGAAAGTAGTTTTGCTGACGTACGTCAGGTCCTCAAACGTGTTCTTGCTAACGCCAGCTGCTGTCTTGCTGGCTTCTATGGCTGTCTTGCTGGCTTCATGCATAGACTTGGATGCCTCTTCTGCAGCCTTCTTCGCTTGTATTGTGAGCTGAGAACAAGAGAGAAATATTGGCACCATTTAAACAGACTGCGTTGCAGAACTAAGACAGCAAAGGTGATACGGTCCCAACAAGACAGTATGCAGTTCGAATCATCACAGCAGAAATGCGACTATACACAATAAAGAGAACATATTGTCTTACACTTGTTTAGTTCTCTGACTCTGAGAACTTTCACACCAGTTTCCTGCAAGACTCATGCCTTAAATAGTTATTATGCACTATCTGCACGAGGTACGTAAATGAACGCATAAAGGAGAGATTGTGTCAATCCACTTGCATGCTTCATCTCCAACTACGTAATGGATTTGCATATTATATGGTGATCGGGGTGCATAGAGGAAGTTTCAGATGTGTTTAATAGTAGCATATATGGTAAATTCTGACCTACAACACATAAAGCCCAAATTTAATTTTATTAAATTCATCAGAAACAATTCATCCAACAAATAACTAGTGTGTAACATAAAACAAAAAGCTGATTACAATTTAAAACCATTAAGTAAATATTTTATAATGTGGTTAACATTTACTGAAACAAGGAAAAATAATTTATAACACCATGCAATTTTATGTCTGCAGATTTGTTTCCGTAATAAATGAAGAACAAAGGCCAATCAAACACAAAGATTGCAAGTAACACACTTGAAAATACATGCATTGCACTACAGTATAGCTTCCCATTCCTGTTAATCACAAGAAAAAGGTTTTACCCTACTTCGTGGCAAACTAAAGTCATGCAACTACTATGCTTCAGCAAGGACATTTCTAACACGTGTAAAGGTTCAACATCAAAAGCAAAATAATTGAGATTTGAAACTGTGTAGGAAGACAGTGGTCTTGAGTGCTAAGCAATGTAGTTCAGTTTCTCAAGTCCTAAATAATGTCAAGAGTTGGCGAGCTGGAGCAGAAGTAGCAGAAATATAATCTTTTCCTTGTTTAGGTTCACCTCGTGAGACGTACAGTAGCAGAAATATAATCTTTTCCTTGTAGGTTCACCTCGTGAGACGTATGTCTCATAAAGAAGCTGTAACAGGCTTTTGGCTAGACGTGTGAAGAAAGGGGAAACGGAGACTGGAGAAATCACGTTACAATCACATATGAATTTGTTAACTGCCACAGAACTGAATTTGTGAGGTATGCAGTCATGCAAAACACTGCTGCTAACATGTCAGCAGCCTTCAATTTGTCACTGAAGAGCTCATTCCACGGGGACAACAGCACACAGGTTTACCATGCAGACAATCTGATCGGAACGGTTGTTAACTGACAGCTAACATACACTAACATACATGGTACCTTCTGTAGTTTATATCCATGTTCCTAGAAAAATAACGCACACGTGGATTACGAAAGATAATACTATATTTGCTGCCGTTCTTATCGCGGTGTGGAGTTCATAAATCTAATGCATCACAAAAGGACAAGCACTTGAAAGCATGCCACAAGATTATCTACCTGTTCCAAGGGCGCAAAGAGGCGTGCCTCTTCTGTCGTAGCTTCTGTGATTTTCTCCTTTGCCTGGAGTTTCAACTTTGTACAGCAGGAACAGAAGAGAAACATTCAGAACAGTGGAAGAAAGAAGAAACAAGGAGTGAAAGACAGACAAGACAAAACAAAAACATACTCTGAGGGTAGGGACGGCATTCCAGACACAGACACCTAACAGCATCGGCTATGTTTAACAATTAAGACCTGTTACCATTAACGCATTCATTGCCAGTCACATTGCAGGATGAATGTACAGTCAAGCTTAAAAAATCAGCACATTAAAATATTTTACAGTAAAATTTGTCTCTTAAAATGACAGAGTTTGGTAACTGAGTGAATGGATCTTCATTCTTTAAACATAATAAAAGAAAGGGTACACCTCATGACCTGAATTTATACCATGACTACTACAATATATAATGGTAGCGTTCTGCTGCAATATACAGAATATAAGCCTGATGATGAAGAGATGGTACATTCTAGTGGCTACGGTATATTGACCAAGCTATAAATTGGATGACCAGAAACCAATTTCTGGCAGGGCAGGATTTCTTTCTTCACTGTATCCATGCCAGATCTGGGGCCCACACTACCGCCTATCCACTGGGTACCACGCTCTTTACTCAGCTAGGATGTGAAGCTGAACACTTACATCCATTAGTGCCACGATAATCATGTCTGCATGGTATGATGCTTCCTTAAGCAACAAGGACAAATTATCTTTAACTTTGCCCTCATTAGATTTAATGAGACAATTTCAAAACCATCGTACACACTACGAAACGTAGCCTGGAGAACAGAGAAGAGATTCCCAGTAGTAAATACAGTGTCTAACTTGAATAACCAGTAACACTAAAAATAAGATTTGAGGTTTTCACGGCCGTGAGTCTGGAGATGGTCATCTTCTGGGTTGTAGCACAGTGCAGTCTGGTAGAAGTTTACAAACATTTCAGACAAAGTCTGAAACGTTGGTAAACATTAACCCAGAAGATATCCATCTCCAGTAACACTCTAATTTTCATTCTTCAAACAAACCCATTTAACAGAAATGGCATTTCTTAACCATTGTGGTCATATCATATCGGCCACCTTCCTTGAAGGCCTTTTATATTTGTCTCATCAAAATATAACTAAAAATATTTTATCTGAAGGCATAGAATTTAATAAAATAAACATTTGGTTTCATACTTCATGTGATCCAGTGACCAATTTCTGAGCGATTTATGGTGCTATATATCACTTTACATGGTTTGGCGTATGAACGTAAGCCAACAAAAGAAAATAAAAATACTGCAATCCTATACAGTTGGACACTAAAACAAAGTTTACTAAACAGACTAGAAGTCCAGATATGGTAGGACTCACCTTGTCCATCTGAGCTAGTATTCCATCCTGACTGCTCTGCCTTGTCGTCTCCCTCACCAGTTCTTTGGCCGTGCACGCAAACTGCTCAAACAGTGAAGTCTGACTGCCCTGTCGTGTCATGCTCATAACAGAACCACCAGGGCCACCCGCAGTTGACCCACAGCTTGATGTACGGGCCAACACATTGCCCAAACTGGGCTGACGCTGCATCAGACCTGGACTCAGAGGAGGCACCTGTCAGGTCACAGAATTAGGAACTTTCACAAAAGGTTGAACTACTTGTTACCACAATTTCATGAAATTCTAAGAAGTAGCTAACCAGCTGCATTTCATACACTCATTAATAGTATAAGACATCTTTGACGAGCTTCTACTTGAGCAGATGGTAATTACTCAGGTGGTAAAAAATTCACTGCCTTT